GAAATGACTGTTGGGGTGTTACTCCTCTCTACAGATAATATGAACAGGTTTTGTATGATCACATCAGGAACACATCTTACTTCACATTCACGTTGTTGCTTGACATCATTTTCTTTTTAAACGCAGAAAAGGCACACAAAAAATAAGTAGGATTTATTGAACCATCTGCAAGTGTTAAAATGAACACCAGAGGATTCATTTAGCACATATTTGGAGCGCTTGTGTTTAAGAGTTGACATTTACAAACTACAACAAAAAAAAAAACATGTTACGCAAACTTTAAACTGTCCAAACAAGTTTTTCTGTCAACAAATTCCAGACTGCAAAAAGATCTGCCTCTACAGGATACAGTGTGAGAGTTAAGCAGTCAAGCTTTAAAATATTGAAATATATTATCTAGCTATTCATCATTTATTTTAATTTTTTTTATTTAAATCTCCTCTCTGAAACCGTTTCCTTATTCACCTAGATTACCTGCGTAACAATTTATCACTTGAAGGGACTATTTCTTTTGGAGGAAGGATTTCATCAGTTCACGTTGAGGTCTGTGGATTATCCACAGAATATTTTCAATGATGTCTGCTCCGAAGATTAAATTAAATTCACCTCCATTAGGTAGGATGAGTGCAGAAATCTGGGAGACAATGGGAATAGATCTTTAAATTGCATGATTTGACACTATAGGTGTGGAGGAGAGCGTTCAGTGTAACCCTGATACACCTGGCTGAACACACATCAGTGTGTAGTGTTAGCCAAGAGTGCTTTCCAGTATAGCTTACAGACTGGGACATTAAGTAGCTTGTGTAGAGTTTTTTTTGTGGCATTTATTGGAAAACCAACCTGCTATAAAATAGCCACAAACTGGTGCCTGCGTGCGTTTGAGTCCCTGCGTGTGAGGAGTTCAGGCAGTGACTCACTTTTTATAAGTTAGATCTCACCTCCCTTCCTCAGGTCTCACCCGTCGCTCCCTCGCTCGAGGGGAAACCACAGCAGAGATGCAGCCTCTCCTGTCTCACACAGGAAACTCCCTGAAACAACTACTGCTCGTCTTGTTTGACCCTCCACTCACACACACACACACACACACACACACACACACACACACACACACACACACACGTATGCTCATAAATTAACTACCGAGCAAAATTGAGGATGAGGATTTAGGATTTAACGTAGCAGTTTTAGGTTAATGGTGCAGTTTATCACTTGTTACCCTAAGCCAGCTGGTAACATCACAGTTCCCCTGCTGATCGCCAAACAAGATCCTCATAAATAATCCAAACAGAAGACACTCTCACTCTCTGTGTGTTCATGTGCACGCATACAAAACCCTTGCATTTGTGTGCCAGTGTTAACACACATCGTTGTCTTTTACGTTCTCTTAAGTGCGTATGTGTACATGCACAGGCGAGTGCTGTCGGTATGTCTAAGACAAGATGTGCAAGTGTGACCTTTTGACTTCCATTAGCAGCTCACTCTCTCTTCTCATTTGTCACCATCAGGTCGAGGAAACCTGAGAGGACAAGAGCTGACGCAGGAGACAGACCTGAAGCTGCCGGAGAGGAGGTGACCTGTCAACAATGAATGACTTTTATGAAGTCAGTCGACAGAATTCTTTTGTCATTTTACCACACACTGTTAATTAACTCTGCTCTTCTCTCACATGAGATTGCATGTTCTGTAAAAATAGAAAAAAATGGAGACCAATTAAGGTCATTTAGATTTGATTTGCATATTTATAGTGTTGATTTTATTTAGCAAAAGATCTTAAATGGGATTAAATAAAGTAATGTATCCATATGTTAGGAAATGTTTTATCTAAGAGATTGCATTAAAACACAAAAAGAAAGAATTGTTTGTTTTTTTGGTTAAGTCAATAGTATCTTAAAAGTCAGGGAGGACCATATGCGTTTTAATAACAACCCCAAAAAAGAGCATGCATACTTGTGAGGAGGAAAAAAACTCACACTTTTTGCTCCTTCGTTGTCTCCCAGAGGCTTTCTGTTCTGAGTTTGTCTCCCTGCAGGCCGACCATCAACGACGCGGGATAAGAATCACCCGCCACAGATCAACAGTCCTTTGGGGTGAGGTAGTAGGTTGTATAGTTTTAGGGTTATTCCCAAGTTGTCAGATGACTATACAACTTACTGTCTTTCCTGAAGCGACTGTGATTGCATCATCATCATCATCATCATCACAAAGAAAATACAACATTGACACTGCAAAAATCTTTTTTTCCCTTTTTTAATTTCAATTTTAAACTTTGGAGATGGAATATTAAATTCAACTTCAATTGTATATTTTTAGGAATCATAACTGTAAATACTCTAAAAACATGCAAGTTGATGATATTTGAATGACCTTTTTGTTGTTGTTTTGAACACTTATTTTCATGTCATGTTAGCAGCATGTATTCAAGACAAACTTTCAGATCCTCCTCCTCCTCCTCCTCCTCCTCCTCCTCTACCTGGGTGACTTATGGTGTTCGTACAGGGTGAGGTAGTAGGTTGTGTGGTTTCAGGGTTGTGATTTTACCCCATCAGGAGCTAACTATACAACCTACTGCCTTCCCTGGAGGGCAGCAATACATCACAGGAGCACCCATGTCTGCGTCACCCAACACTGACTGACACTTAAAAAGTTAGCGCCGACAGACGACTGGCTTTTGATGTCCAAGGTTTCATTCAACGGGTGAGTGGTGCACAAATTACAAAATGTATTTAATGGCAAAAAGAATGAATCATTTAAACTTTATAAAAAGCATTTAAAAGAAATGTGTTTGGCCTTGGAAATATTTGTATATAAATGTTTTTTTATGTTTTGACTTCGTGCTGTTTTGTTCAGAGATAAATAAAGACTGGATGATAAAAAAAAAAAAACTGTTGGATCATGAGTCATTTAATCAATCTTTATTAGTATAGCAACAGTTCATAACAAATGTTATCTTAAGAAGAAGAGCAGGTTGTGATCTTAGTCTTAACTATAAAAGTGTGTGTCTGATCCTTTCAATGTAGAAGGGGGTTGTAGGAACAAATATTTCTTTAGTAATCCTTGTAAGGAGCTCAAGATATTTCACAAGACATCTTAAACAATCTTTTGATCATGGTTTATTGTTTAGGTCTATTCAGTATTTTAGAAGAAGCCTCTCTTAGTACTTATAGTAACAATGACACTGTTGTGATTTAATTTTCCATGCAAGATTATGAAAATGTAGGGGATCAAAAGCAAAGACAATTCAGTGAAATCCACAAAGGAAGCAAATCTGTTTTATCTGAGCCATATGCTCAGCATTGTTCTAACACTTAAGAAAGTAGTCTCAGAGGCTTTGAGCTGCCTTCTCAAGTTGCTTCCCAAACATCATCATACCATATATCTGCTTTAGTCTTCATTCAGCTTCAAAGTGTCTGTAACACTTCAGAGAATGTGAGCATGTGGGGTTCCTCCACACTTTTTACAGATCAGGTGCTGAGGCACAACAACAACAAAAAACAACAACCATAAATCATCACCCAACGTGTGTGAATATACTGAGCAGCCTCAAGACTACTGTATAGTTTTACCGTAGAAGTAAACAGGCAGTCTATTATCTCAGGGTGGGGACACAGTTGTCGCTGATTCTCAGTAGTTGCTGATCGTGCACAGTAGATGGCGCCATATAGCCTCTTTCATGTTGTGCTTAACTTTGAATACACCTGTATTTACAACAATACAAGCTATAAGCTACGGACACTACTGATAGTGCACATTACAGTCACATCTTTATTTGTATTTTTAACTGTTTATTCAACATATAACCTGTGCGACAAAATGTGAATGTTACACGAACTCGACCTAGTTTTGGAAACAAAGAGGAGTAATAAGAAGTCAAATATTTTCTTGAGTTTAATATTAAAACATTTAAGACTCAAGAGTACAAACAGATGAGGAGGAATTAGTACAAAATAACCTGTGTAAAACAAATAGCAGTAGCCTACTGTAGTATATGTCCAGCATAGAAAATATAAAATGAGTATTAAGAAAAAAAATGATGTAAGAATATAAATCATACGGAAACAAATGGCTCATTAGTGTCCTTTGGTTTCATAAAGGGTTGTTTGACGTTTTGAATACATAGAACGATATTTCCATCTAGACTCTTCTGCAGAAAAAAAATTATGTGGCATGAAAATGGCTCACATTAAAGTTAATTTATTCACACAAGCCACAAATTAAAGCACAAGCAGTCCTTTGAATTAATGTAGGCCTAAATCAATTAATGCATTTATTACATCTATGTTATTATGTACAGAAAACAGAAGATATACTGTAGGTATTGTCTAATAGGCAATACTCTGTTAACATTAGCCTATGCATAGACAATACATTTATATAGTCCTACATAGGATATAGGCCTATGTATATTTATATAGCCTATAGGCCTATGTTATACAGTCTATGGCTACTGTATTCAGCAGACAGTCATGTGCATGTAATGTGTAATTTCTATGAGAAAACTGACGTTTCATTTCGTAACAAACGACCTCTATAGCTCCTTTGGCCTGTGACGTTGAGTGACACAAAGGACTTCATTGTAAATATCACAGCAAATGAGGCTAACATGTTTACTGCCTTTTATGACGTCATTAAAATTTAATTGAGAGGAGAGACGGCTAGCCGAGACACGTAGACTGTCCACGGTACAAGAACAATAGAGACCCCCTCTCCCCCTCCCCTCCCCTCCAAACAAACAAACAAAAAAACAAAAAAAACATCGAGCCCGTGACGTCTCAAGACACCAGGAAGTGATTGGGTCCTGCCAGAATAAAACGTGGCGGTCCCTGCATGTGCATTGGTTGAAAGCATAGGTGTGTCAGGGGGGTGTGTGTTTGTGTGTGTGTGCGTGTGTGCGCGCGCGTATGTGTGTGTGTGCGTGTGCGCGCGCGCGTATGTGTGTGTGTGCGTGTGCGCGCGCGCCGTGTCGCCGTCCGTCGTTACGTTACTTCCTGCAGAGGGATGAACGGAGGTTTTTGACAGCGCAGAGGGAGGCGACTCGTCAAGTTTTCAGCAGAGGAGATCTGTGGATCAGGATCAGTGCCTCAGAGTGTCCCGGGACCTAAACACCTCCCTCCTCCGATTAGAGACATCCCTCCATCTCGACTCCAGCCTCTGAAAATGATCCGGACTGCAGCCTCGGAGGTATTAATCACCTTTATTTCCAACTTCGGTTAATTGTGATAAACAGCCTCAACGTTGCTTGGATGTTTGAAGCAGGCTTACAGCTGCAGTTCTGATGCTTTAACCAACAGCTTTGTCAGTCCCACAAATCAAATGCCTAACTATTGGACTTTCTTTAGTCACTTTCGTAATTGGATTTCGAGCTGAAGTCTTCTTGCTTCTATTCCTGCATTAGAAGAATGCATGCCATTGTTCTCAGTGTCTCAGTGGGCTATCTGGTTGTGTGTTTGACCTGATCCCACGTTGAACTTCCTGACTGCTCGAGTCTTAAAAACAGGTGAAGACTATTTTCAAGCTTCATTCTAAGGAGAGGAAGGTGTTTATTTATAGGCTGAAATGTCCCCTTTATGTCCCAAAAGCAGGAGCCTAGTATTTTATTTTCCTTGAAGTATAAACATCAAGAGACAGTGTGAACACATGACAGTCTGTAAATTCACGTGGAAGTGTTTTTTTTTTTTAACGATTGCCTCACTATTATTAGTGTTTGACACATGGATGACCTTGTTGCAGAGATTTAATCCTGATTCAGCAGACGGCTCTGACAATCTATTTTCAAGTCTTGTATCTAATGGAGCTTGTAGGTCAGTTGTTGGTCTTTTTAACATGCTTTGTTGAGCACAGCAGAAGGCTCCTGTTTCCTCTTCTCCCTCGCGACCTAAAGATAGTGTCTTCTGTCTGAGATTGTAGTTCCTCTGGGATTTAAAACACAATGTCCTTTGAGGTGATGGGGAAGCATGGGCTGGGCCAGGTCAGCTATGAAAGGGGAAATGCAGCGAAGAGGTAGTTGTTGACCTGTTTTCAATATGTTTAACCTTTTATCCGTATTATAAATATGAGGCTTGAGTTACAGACCAGATTGCGCTCAGATTATTCAAATCTTAAAGATACAGAGGTGGAAACAGGAAACTAATGATTATTTTCATTTAAGGTCAATCTGATGGTAATTGTTGTTGAATCTATCCAACCATCAGCTTTTGTCTGACAGGAATGTTTACAATTTCAAATTATCCCAATTTCCTGTCAAATCCTAGAAATTAAGCAATTGTCACATTTTCAAACCTGCAACTATCCGATATGTGCCATTCACACCCAAATGTCGAAAGAGTTGCCCATGATATTAGTAACGTCACCATGAAATCCACTGATTCATCAGCTCCAAGGAAGTCATGCCAGAGTGCAGGTCAGGACGCAGAAAAACTACACTTTAATAAATAATCTGAACCACATGTTGAAACAGTTTAGCTTGTGTTGTGATGGGAATCCTACATATTTTGGATACAACCCAGCAAAAGCTAAACGGCAGGTTATTGTAAATAAGAACTGGATGTCTTACCGCCCATAGATTCATAAACGCTCACCCAATCTGCCCTTTGATAGAAAAAATATTACTTAGCTGCTTGGATTCTCAACAGATTGTCAAGAGGTCACATGTTCATCCAAGCAGCTTTGATGAAACTCTGTTAGGCAACAGTTCGAACCGTTTTTTTTACCTGTCAGCATATACCTACATTTTTCTTTTTTTTTACACACGCTCACAGATATCCTCCACAGCTCTGGCGTTCTGTCAGGACCTGTCGGCCGACATACTGCAACACACAGACTAGATAAACAAGTACGGGCTTGCTTTGATCAATCACGTTCTCACTGTGTGTCCTCAAGAGTCAACAGAGAGCGTGTTTACCATCCAAACAAATGAAGGGATCATTTCATCTTATTGTCATGTTTTACTATTGTTTTAACCAGCACACTCAACAACCTCAATTCTCCTGTGAGGAGTTTTTATCTGGGTTTGGAGAAAAAAATGAAAATGAGCACCGATGTCTTCATGTGACCTACAAAAAATAGAGACGTCCAGTACTAAGACCTACTATTCCTATGTGTAGTTTTTTTTAAAAGTCTGAAGCCACTGGTGCAGGGTAGAGTTCAGACAAAGACCCAGTTTCCCAAGATTCTGGGAACGTGATTGATTTGACTGTTACAATAAAGCAGGATGAGATTTAAAAAAAAAAAAACACTACTTACACATGTACAATACAAAATAAGCAAAGACCACTTTGACCAGGAGGGGTCGCCAAAATCGACACAAACAAAAAAGTTCATCACAGGAGCTTTAAAGTCAGGGTTCTAAACAGTCGAATTGCACAATCTAGTTAATTTCATAATTCTTCATGCATGCTCGCCTCACAGATGTATGCAGCTGTGTAAACCATGACTCTACATTGAGCACGCTTTAGCTCTGTTATGGCCCCAACAGCCAAATCTCTTTATATTCAATCAGAGGAATGCTTTTGATTGTTTTGTATTGTTCAGCATTTTATTACTGGTACATTTGAACTTTTAAAAATTTAGAACAAAATTTAGGAGTTAAGAAAAATATTCTCATCTTTGGCTCAGTTGGTAGAGTCGGTCGCCTCACAACCGGAAGGGCGGCGTTTCAATCTCCAGCTCCTGCAGCCACATGTCCATTATGTCCTTGGGCAAGAAACTTAACCCCAAGTTGTTCCCACTGCTTTGTCGGCTGAGTGTGAATGTATGAATGGGATAAGTTAATACTGATGGACAGTCTATGTAACAGAATCTGCCATCAGTGTGGAATAGGTAGGTATGACCTGCGGTGTCAATAGAAAATGGTAAATGGACTTAAGCTTGGATAGAGCTTTTCTAGTCGTCTGTTCTGACTACTCAAAGCGCTCTTACACCAATTGCTATCTGACAAGTCAATCAATATACAGTCTGCAGAAAAACAACAGTAACATCTGCTGCCATGAATTGCTGGAAGTTGGACAGGGCGTCAAAGAACATGAGCATTAGCCATGGTGCTGTGATGTTGTGTGATGGCTCAAACAGATGTGCTTTCTCCTGCTGAGAGCAGCTGTGAGCTCCAACACTGTCCCTCCTACACGCTCGTTTGAGATCCACTCTGAGAGGACGGACTGCTACAGACAAGGGCAGAGAAAAAGTGAATTAGAGCTGCGTGTCTACACACTGGAAAGCTATCCATACAATGTAAACACTACCTCTGATGTACAGTATGTACTCACTGAGCGTCTTTAGAGTCTCTGAGGGCATCCCAGTTGTTTAACAAATCAGAGTCAGCGCTTTGGAACAAGCTGCTAACATTAGTACCCTGTTATATAATGCTTGTTGGCTCTTAATAACAGTTTGCACTAAGAAGACTCAGTCTTTCAAGACTTTTGTGTTTCTCTCACGTTTGGATGCTTTATCTGAAAAATGGTCAAACCTGCAACCTAGCTAGCTTGTTTCCTTTGCGATGAATATCCCAAATCTGAGGGTAAAAGACACATCTCTCTGCTGCCAAATAGGCCACAAAGACAGTGGTGGCATCCATGGGTAACTCCTGGGATGTACTTTCTGCTGGTGGTGCTTTTAAAACTAAAAAGTGCAGTATAATGTCTTGTTCCTTTTGTTAATGAGCATGTGGACTTCTGTAGGTCTGACTCTGGGACTTAATGAGAAGATCCATCTATCCATTATCAATACTGCTTTTCCTGTTCTTGCTGGAGTCGATCCCGGCTGTGAACGACGGGGTACATCCTGGACTGTTTGCCAGTCAATCACAGAGCTGACAGATACACTTGTCAACAAGTGGGACAGTTTTGTAATTCTTTAGCCAGAGTTGAAACCCTTTAGCCAGAGTTCTGTCTATTTCTACTCATAAGAGCCTGAAGAAATAAAGAGCAGTATTATTCAATCAATCAATCAGTCAATCGAGGTTTTTATAAAGGACATTTAAAAATGGCAACAGATGACCAAATTGCTGTAAATGGAACAAAAGAGCAGTACAGTAAAGTTACAGAAAAGGAGAAAAACAACCACACAGCAAACTCATGTGTCATGCATGTGTGAGTATTTTATTTGTTTTATTCTAAAAATGTTCCTCAGAGGTTTGCACCCAAACTGCTCCACCTCTCTCGTAAGCTGCCTCAGGGTTTCCGTCTCATTATCACCCTTTGCCCTCATCGTTTGTCTCTCTCTCTCTCTCCTCTTATCACAGTCTGGTGAGTGAGGCCCTTCTTCCTTCCAGGATTGGTTCCATCTCCACCATGGCGGGGGATCTCTTCAGCCCCCCGTCCCCTCTGGCGGATTCCCTGCTGGACGGTCCGCTGTGTGGAGACCTGATGGACGATCTCCGGGACATCTCCCAGTCTATCGGAGACGACACGCTGGGATTTGATTTTTGGAGCAGCAGAGCACCGGCTCTGGATCGGAGTGTTCCATTGCACTTGGTGAGTAAGCGAGTGGCGTCCTGGTCGATTAAAAAACAACTGATGGAGGATAGAATGTACAAAAGTGAACTAATAAAACAAACAGATCCCTATTTGATTTAAAAGCTAACATGTCAGGATGTTCCTTTGCTGCAGGCAGGTGATGTGGATCATTACAACATTGACCCTTTGACCTTAAGGCTCCTCTATGACGCATGTTGATTCATGAAAGAGACCTGCATGAAACAGTGTGTGTCTGATAACAGAAGATTAGATTTATCTCTGTCTCTCCTCCATGATCTTGTCTCCAAATACCTGAGCAGCACTTTACTATAATAAATGACCCATGTCTTCAGGAAAACACTTAAAAATGCTTCAGTCTGCAGGAGACATATACCTGATGTTCTCAAGAAGACAAAGGAAACAGCCATTCTTACAGGACTCCTCGACGTATGACGTGACATACACTTCTTGTTTTAGAAAGTAGAATGCAACCTGTTGTCTGCTGGTTTGTACAATTGTAACATCTACAAAATCCTTTTTTCTCTTAATTCTCACTTATAGAAATATGTTCTGTCAGTCAGCTTTTGAAAAAAAAAACAGAGTTGGAGAAGCCTGATACCACTCTCATGCTATTGAAAACATAAAGCTAAACTTTTAGCCAGCAGCCAGTTAGCATGGCTCATTCCATTGCTAAACCACCTCTAAAGCTCCAAACATGTTTCATATTGCTTTAACTAAATCTTAAAGAAAAAAACAAGCAGTTAGCCGATATCCAATACTGATATTGTAAGAGCTGTGGAAGATGTTTCAAGACAACGTTACCCAACTGACATAAAACATTGTTTCCAGAGGCTGTACCATCAAAAATGCTGAGTCAAGCTAGTTACACTAACTAGGGCTAGCTCTAACTTTGACTCACCTTAACCCAGGCACATAAAAAAGTGAATGAGTGTATCATCTCACATTTCAAACTACAATTTCTCTTATTATTTTATAAGAAAAAAAAAAAAAAAAGGATTCTGAGTCATTTTAAAAAAAGACTAGAAGTGCAAGTCACAGTTACTTGGCTCTGTTGACCTCTAATCCACCTCTAAAGCTCTCTGACCACACGTTATGTTTGTTTGTTAAACCGTTGCAAAACAAGCAGTTAGACTAATACTCTGCAAAGCTCTGCTAAGATAAGCTAAAAAGGTTAGCAGTAGTGTATCTCTTACAATTCTTTGCTAATAAGTGAATTACCCAAAAACCTGTTAGCCTGCTTAAATTGTTATTTTATGAAATATTTGAGGATTTATATTCTGGATTGATTTAGTTCCAGGACTAAGGGAATGACTTTTTGTCTTTTGTGTTTCGCAGACACTCTGACCCCCGCCTCCAGTCCGTCTTCAGGGGTGTGTGGAGGAGCGGCCGGCCCCGAGGAGAGTTTTCCCCCCCTTAACCTGGAGTGCCGGGTGTGCTCAGACAAGGCTTCAGGCTTCCACTACGGGGTGCATGCCTGTGAGGGCTGCAAGGTGAGAGTTGGAGTACATATTGTATGCATGAACGGAGACAGGACATACCAGTAAAGACCATAGAAAGTGACAGAAATAAACACTGATCAAATCCCGTTCAGGTTGAAGATAACATGTGCTGCAAAGGAAAATGTTGTCTTTGGTGTCCTTGCATGTAACACAAAATACACCCACTCACACATGTGTTCACACACACACACACACACACACACACACGTAAGCGCCCACATGCACAACATAACACATACAAAGCTTGGCATGCAGGAGCGCCTGACCCAGCAGCCAGTGGAAAAAGTTTCAGAAGCACACCGCCGGGTCATGTGAGGTGGGGGACAGAGTGGCCTTGGTTGCCTTCTCACCCCTCCCCTGCTTGGCACAGAGCCCAACTAAGAGACTTTAATACACACACACACACACACACACACACACATGAGCACACATGAGCACACATGTAACTGCAGCTGGCAGAGAGCCCTCCTGTGTTTAGAGGCAAATATTATCTTCGCATAGGATCTTATTTTTTCTTAAACAAAAATCTACTTTGCGTTAATCTTTTGGAGGTTGTCATCATCTTAACAGTAAATTCTTCAGGTTTTAATTAGTTAAGCTCCACAGGACACCTTGGCACTGAAATTCCAGACATTCTTGAGATTGTATGTAGCACAAAAAAAGTCAGAAAGGATCAGTGACACCCAGAACATTCTGTAACTGAGACTATTGAGTTCATTATCAGTTCAGTGATCACTTCTGTGCATGTGTTAGAACCATTGATGATCATCACTGCACTGTTTTCCACTAAGTCATGTGAGCTCGTTTAGGCCCACACCTCTAAGCCCGTAGCATGTTGTTGCTGCTAATCTCAGTTTGCTATTTTTTTTGCACAACTTTTACAACTCACTTGCCCGTAGTTAAAACGTCTCCCATCAGCCACAGCTTCAACTTGACACTGTGTTTGTTTATTCTACTTCATAAACTACTTATTGAAATCCAGAGTAGGATTACAACTTTCATGTATTTGAAGTGAAACAGAGTTGTTACCAGTTTTGTGCAGAGTCTGTTTTCACTCCTCTGTGCTGGCAATGTGCTTTCAGTTTCCCTTCAGATCTATAGGAACCATGATGGACACAGGCGGGAGGCAAATATTTCACAACGTTCATTCTTCTGTCCAAGTTTTGAAGAATGCACATCTGTATGTTTTTAAGCGCCATACAGCTGGCTGTCTCCTCGCTGGTCTGCATAAGATCCATCAGATTGCACAAAAAAAAAAAGAACACTTGTTTTGCACGTCCTTGTGTCACACTACTGCTGCTGTCCTAAAATAGGAACATGATGACACTGAACTGTTGGACGCTGCAACACGTGAGAGCTGTATTTTGACCACACTTTGTTCCTAAGTTTGCTGACCGATGATATTGCGCCATCATGGAAAACTCTGGCGTGTGATATGTAGCAGCCACAGTTCACTGTTTCCACGCCGGATGGTCTCTCTGCATATCATGTTCAACACCTCGCATGAAGAGAGGAGCGCTCTGTAGGTGGGAATGTGGAATGGAATGCTGTGTGGGTCCGTGGTGCCGGGGCTTAAGTCTTGCTGTGTGATGACGCTGATGTGAACGGCACATTTAGAGCAGCAGGACAGTCGGTTAAACATCAGCACGTCTCCCTGCTCAGATAGCAGGAAGTTATTTCTGGAGATAAAGTGAAACACTTTTCAGTCTGATGAGAAGACATTTGCCCTTGAGGAAACATTGCACAATCCATCCCATTGCTTACGTCTTTAGTCTCATGAGTCACCGGTCATGGCTGCATATCACCGCCTCTCTCGTCTTGACTGAACCTCCATTCATGCAAGGACATGCATGCAGTAAACACACATCTGTTTTTCTCCCCTTTGTGCCGTGAAGTTGTTTTGTAATGTGTTTTTGATGACTTACACATGTCACTAAACTATTGCCTAGACCTTTACTTCTTTTTCACTGAGCTATTTCCCACAATAAAGCTAGAATTGTTTGCTTTGCTATAACACAAAAAATAACCCTTAATAATGACATGCCTTCACAATAAATAAATAACATTTGTAAGGTGACATACTGAATGTGTATGTAGCTCCAGTTATATTGCCAGAGAATCCATTTTCCCTTTCTTGACCGTGAGGGATTGTTGGTATTTCAGTGATGCACCCACACGTGTATGTGAGTGTATGTCAAAGCATCAGATACACTGGCACATGTGCAACACTTGTTAGCATGCGCTGGCCCACTGCCCTGTACCCCAGTGTGCGTTGGAGGGCTGCAGGATGTCTTGTCCAATCAGGGTTCATCCTCAGAAGGGCAGAGCGTACAGTAGACCTCTTTAAATATAGATATTATTCCACTGTACAGTCCAACTCACTTTCTGACCAGGGCTTCAAATGTACTGAATGTACAGCATACAAAAATGCTGCCGATATACATGCAGGTGCCTAAAAACTACAAAAGAAGAAGAAAAAATGATCATTCAAAATGACTGTTTGCTAGTATAACTGGCTCCAGTCTCTCATTGCAATTCCAAACTAAAGGCTCATTAAACCGGAGTGACTGGGGATCCACATGCATCCTTATAGCTTTAGCACACGGTCTAACTTGTAAGCCTGCACGCTTTGGCTGACTCGTGGCGGTGACAGAATAAATAGTCTTCTTGCACACAGAAGTTGTAAAACATAACAAAAAAAACATCAATCAAGTGTAAAATCCAGTTGAGAGGTTGTTTTCAAATAGAGGCTGCAAAGCAAATGGAAGGTTAAATGAAATCCCCTGAGGGCTCAAGAACCAGAGGAGTATTCTGAACGTTTTGTGTTGTCAAATCTGAATCTTTGAAAGCTACAGTGTGCATCATTCTGTCTCCAACAGGGTTTCTTCAGGAGGACCATCAGGCTAAAGCTGGAGTATGACAAGTGTGAACGCAACTGCAAAATCCAAAAGAAGAACCGGAACAAGTGCCAGTACTGCCGATTCCACAAGTGCCTCTCTGTGGGCATGTCCCATAATGGTAAGGTGTTCAACACCGAGGCCTTGGAGGCACCATAGACCAAGTTTGGCTGTATCACTAGGTTGATTATTATTATTATACAATTCAATTCATTTTCAAAAGAGTGAGATATATGTGGCTTATATAAACAATCTGAAAGGAATCTGCAATCAAAATAAACGCACTCCTAAGTATTTAGTTACATAAAACTCTGCTCAGTGGAGATCACAGTATGTGTCCTCCAGTACAACAGCAGGACGTGTCTGTGTGTTTCTGTGTTTTACGTCGAGTGGGGGTTTATAGAACATGCCCCGCCGGAGCCTGCCTGACATTGAGATAACACAGGCTCCATATAGCTCCACATCTGGCCCGTCAGCTGCACTCACTGCAAGAGGGGTCATTGAGTTTGTTACAATGGCCTCCCACTGCAGGCAGAGCCACGGCCGAAACCTGAGAGGGAGACAAACATGTTGTCCTCTGAAGGGAGGAAAGAGAACAGAATGCCGAGGCTCTGCTGTGGGTGAATGTTAAGTTTGTGCACACGCGTGTGTGTTTGCTGCAGGAGGATATCTTTGGTGTGTAAGAATGCAGTTTCCTTGTTGGAAAAAAAAAAAAAAAAAACTTTTGAAAACTCTTCTTGCTGTTGCTAACGATATATGTGTCTATGCTACAGCTATCCGGTTTGGTCGGATGCCTCAGGCGAGAAGCTTAAGCTAAAGGCAGAAAGCAAAGTAGTGGAGAAGGAGGTGGCAAACCCTCTGCTGGCCGACCACAAAATTCTGGTCAGGCAAATCCACGAAGCCTACATGAAGAACTTCAGCATGAACAAGGCGAAAGCTCGGCTCATACTCACCGGAAAGACGAGCAAGACGGTAAAGGAAACAACAACACTAATGGCAGAGGGGTTGTAAATAGTCTTTATAGTCCGTCTCCTCACATCTTTCCCCTCTCTTTTCTCAGCAGCCTTTCATCATTCACGACATGGACACATTCCAGCTGGCAGAGAGGACGTTAGCGGCACATATGCTCAACGGTGACAGTCCAGAGGTCAAGATCAGCCTCCAGTCTGGGGACCTGGTTCCATCGGTGGGGAGTGGGGAGCTCCAGCAGAGGGAGGCTGAAACCAGGCTCTTCCACTGCTGCCAGAGTACCTCGGTGGAGACGGTCACAGAGCTGACGGAGTTCGCCAAGTCGGTGCCGGGCTTCCAGAGCCTGGATCTGAATGATCAGGTGGGTTTAGGGGCGCTGTATCAGTTACTGAATTAAGTATATACAGGGGGAATGTTTACTTTTACTTGAACCAAAGATGTTTTGTTGGAATCTTACCTTCCTTTTTTTTTAGGTGACTCTCTTGAAGTATGGCGTTTATGAAGCCCTCTTTACGCTTCTGGCCTCCTGCATGAACAAAGATGGCCTCCTAGTGGCCCGTGGTGGAGGCTTCATCACCAGGGAGTTTCTCAAGAGCATGCGACGGCCATTTAGTGACATGATGGAGCCTAAATTCCAGTTTGCTTCACGCTTCAACTCACTGGAGCTGGACGACAGTGACCTGGCCCTTTTTGTGGCTGCAATTATCTGCTGTGGAGGTATAAAAAAAAAAATACATATATTCATTCACCTTGACTGAAAGTTGCAAGGACTGCGTCTTCATATCCTTTCTCCCCTCTACCTGATCCTTTCCCTCCAGATCGCCCAGGCCTGGTTGATGTGCCTCTAGTGGAGCAGTTGCAGGAAAGCATCGTGCAGGCACTGCAGCTCCACCTGCTGGCCAACCACCCAGATGACAACTTCCTCTTTCCCAGACTGCTGCAGAAACTGGCTGACCTCCGGGAGCTGGTCACAGAGCATGCACAGTTGGTGCAGGAAATTAAGACGACAGAGGATGCAGCGTTGCACCCACTTCTGCAAGAGATATACAGGGACATGTACTGATGACAATGAATGCCATTTAAAAGCAGGTGTACATACTAAGTTGAACTATATGCATATCGATGTACTGTAAGTAGCTCATTGTGCAGCTTCTAAGGATACACGCTGCTGGGATCTGCAGAGGTGTCATCATGTGATCTATAACTTTAGAAGTCTACTAGAACTGAACACAAATGAAATGAGGGGAAAGCAGCTCTTGAAGGTTGCACGAGTGCTTCCCTCAAAGAGGATACAGAACTTTTATTTCAATCTGTCACCATAGATTTGTGGAGATATTTGTTAAAATGCATAACTTAGAACATCTTATTGTCATACATTGTGATCTGATGCCAGGCTTGTACTCTACAGACACATGCATAGGAGAACAAAAGTTGGCTGTGCAAATTTGCATGGCATTTAAAATGGATGTACACATAATAATAATAATAATATAGATAACAGGACATGGCTGATGCAGCCACATTATGCACTATACTGTAGTAGCAATAAGTTCAATTGAAGTGCCAAGAAGCAGAGATGTTTTAACATTTAATCTTTACACTGACTTTCTTTTTTGTGCAGACGTTGCTCCGACTTAACATAAAGACATATTCCTAGTATTTTGGATATTTAGTTCATTTGAGCTCATTAAGAAATGATTTGTGTAATGGTCATGCCCTTTATTTATGACAAGTGCCTTGTAAAATTAGACAAATCTCCCTCAACAATTCTTGTATTAATGGTTGTAGAAACATTGTATCAGTATTCAAGAGTGCCATAATGTCAACCTCATGCCTCCTCTGACTTTGACCACACACCTCATACCTTTCATAACAAATGCAATAAATAAGCCATGGGGTAGAAAAGTGATTTGTTAAGATTATTGTTACCAGTCAGTGTTGGTCCAGGGAAGGTTCTGACATCATATTAAGTCATAAATCGGTTGCTTTTCTGTCTGACGATGAACTCAAATGAGCCCAACTCTCAGTGAACATTGTTTTAAAGTATGGTTATTTCATCTGTTGTGTATTTATTTCAATCCGCTGTCCTACTGATTTAAAAACAACACAAGATACCTTACAGGCACATTTTTCTTCCATTGAGGCACATGTTTTAGGAGGGTGGGTGACTATTGGCCAGTATTGGATATTTTGACCACAAACACAGTGTGTTAAGCTGGTTTATTTTGTATTTTGTAAATATAATAGGAATGTGGTGACCACAGTGAAAGGGATGTGTGTATGCAGACAGTTAAGCAGGCGAAATGACTCACCTCCTGATGAAGTATTGTAACATTGCTGTCATAACAGTTTATATTTTTTGTCATGTTTATTAGTGTACATTATGAACTGCATTTGCTGTTTCAATTAAAGGAATATTGTGGTAGCTTAAAAATAAACTAATATATTTAACTGACTTTGATATTGCTAATGGTCTGTCTTATTTAACAGTCTAATAATGCCAGTGTAAATGATTCCCCTCATGGAATCTGCTCAAGAAATATTAGCAAGAAGATATTTTTATATTTTGTATTTTAAGTTATTATCACAGAGACCTGATTATGATGTTAGCTGTACTCCACCTGTTAGTCTTTGGTGTTAATTAGCAGCACCTGTGCTTTGCCTTTATTGAATTAATTGTTATTACATCGCTATTCATTTTGAACCTTTTACTCAAATTTAATACACGTTAACTACCTATCAATATACATCCGTGAAAACATGCAAATACGGTTGAAAAATCATTAAATATATTTAATTATATTAAGTATAGGACTCTACAACACACTTTCTGTCGCTGTGCTCCCCCTGTTCAGTAGGTGGCGGTAAAGATACGTGAAATAACAACATGGTTGAACCGTGAAAACCAGGAAGTACCTCTTCCTGCTCTTGTGCTCTGAACGATGGAGCAAACTAAAAGTGAACACCGTCAAAAATCATTTACTTGCCAGTCGTGTGGTCTGAGTAGCCCGTTTACTACTACGGCCAGAAACCACCTAACACAAGAGCCATTGTGTAAGTGTGCACCAAGCGGGACGCTTCTCTTGAGCCACCCTACGCCGAAGATAATTTAACCTTTCATTGTTGTTTAAGTAGCATGTGTCCCGGTATCTGTCTTAAAACACACCTTCTATTTCATACAAGTGGAACCGCATGGGCCTGTTTACGTTTTAATTCCGTTTATTGTGCATTTTTCTGTCGTCCCATTAGATTGCTTGAGGAGTGTTTCGTGACCAGAGACCCCTTCAGTCCGGACAAGGAAAAGTTTCTTGTTTTGGGCTCTACCTGCAGCCTGTGCAGCATGTGCGTCTGTGTTGCACCGGTAAGATCTCTTTTAAATTCAATTTGCTACGGTCTTGTGTTTTATATTGGCTCGATATGTGATTATGTAATTCAATTTATCAGATGCGATAACGTTTGCATGCCTTCTTCATGGACAAATGCGATAATTACAGACTTGAGTTTGATTTAAAGGGAACTGTAACCACATTGATTGGAGACACTAAAATGCAGCCTGGGAGTGCAATCAAGCCAAACAAATAATTGGCATTCCCAGTCAGGCTTTGGAAGCTGACTTGATCTTGCAGCTCACTGGTGATTAAAACATGCATCTAGTTTTCTCAGACACCTTTCGTAATCACGTGGCTTATATGTACATGCTGAGAGAAATTCATGACTGCTATGCACTTCAAATCAATTTATCCAGTCTCACATACAGATGTTGAAAAATGTATAAATACGTGTGACTCGGCATGTCTACCAAAGTGAAACTGGAGAATTGATGCTAAACTGTAGCCTTCTCTTCTGTCAGGAATGCAGTCTTTTCTACACGAAGAGGTTTTGCATGCAGTGTGTGAACAAGCACTTGGACCAGTTCCCCCAGCAGATCCGGGCCGAGCTGGCCAAGAAGAAGCAGAGCTCCAAAGCTGCCATCTCGTGACGTTGGAGTAGAGACCCTTGACCTGCTGACATACGGAAGAGAAATTGTCTGAATGGTCAGATAAAGACTCACAAATATGTCATCGCACTCTTTTATCAAACCATGCAGGGCCAAAATGCAGAAAGACAAGCAACACACCTAAAAACGAATTATCCTAAAAAGGAAGAAGAAAAGAAAAACGCAGCTACACATCAATTTTTTTTTTTTTACCTGAGTAAGATGTAAATGTGTTTTATTTCTCATTGGAGAATTTTTTTAAAAAGTAAGCAAGTGGTGGGATTAACTAGAGTTGCTGGGCCATTGTGTGATGAGGTTGCAGGTTCACATGCAGACCTTTTGGTTGGCTGCAATAAAAAAAAATACACCCTGACATAATTAGCTGAAAGTGCTTTGCAGTTGCTATAAATGTTCTGTTATTTAAAAAAAAAGCAGAGGAGGATTTTTATTTATTTGTGGTAATGGCATCGGCATCTTAAGATAGAGGTAATGATTTTATTATTGGAGCACATGTTCTATTTTATGGCCCTTATCAAGGCACAGCATTGCAGTATTTGCTAATAGCTGCTGTTCTGCCCAATACCACAACTATTTTGGTCGTCTCCCTAAGTGATACTAAGAGAGTTCTGATGTGGACGCTGTAACATTCTTCAAGACCAGTTGCCGGGCAGATTAAAAAACGAGATTCCTGTTTTCATAGCCATTGCAAAGGAGAGACTGTACTTCATGAATTTTACCTGTTGTATTATGCTTAATGAGGAAATACATCTGTATTAGTTTTCATAAACTTATAGGTATAATAACTTTTAAAATGACACACTGGTGGATACTACAGACGTGTGTTGTGACATTTACACATCCTTCGTGTCTGTGGTCAGAGGTTTCTTTGTTGACTTCTATGCGGTCATTTTTTTTTTTTAAGTGTGTAATCTCAAACTATAAAAAGACACATCCAGTAGTGACCTTTCTCTGTTGTTTTTGATTCCTTGTGGATCCATGTTTATGGGTTATAATGTACATTGTTTTTAGTTGCATCATCCCATTCAAATTTGTAGGTGTTTAAATATTTTAAACTCTGATGGAAAAAAAAACAACAACCCACAACAAGTATTTCCTTAAAGCATTGCCTATGGATGTGTGACCCAAACAAAATCTTCCCTGGCCTTGATTCTCAAATAACCATCTAATCAGTTTGATCCAAATCTGTTTCCATCTCTCAGGGATCACTCGGTACAACGGCGCGCACAGTTTGCAGCAGCATAAACACATTATGGATTAAGTGTGATCCCGGCGATAGCATCGATAAAACAGATGGCCTTGCTGAATTTATCACGAGATGTTTCACTCTTTTCTAGGGGTTAATTGAAACAGCATGGCCTTAAAGGCAGGCCCAGTGGTTTCTTTTTTTTTTTTCTCTCTCTCTTTTTTTTTTTTTTCTGGCGAACTGTGCTGAGGAATGCAAAGCGACACCCGCTGTAGAGTTTAAGTTGGGACATTGTGAACTCTGCACACAAGGAGTACTTGCTGATGCATTCACTCAATTACTGCAGGACACCTCTGCAGCTCTGACATGTACAGAAGATTAACTTGGTAATAGACACCTTAAGCAGGACTTTTTAATGATGCACACTGAGAACCCTGCAGAAAGAAATGTTTGACTTTTTGAAGGTCTCTCTTCAAGCTGCAGCACTTTTTGTTTCCTTGGTGCTTAAACTCTAAGCACTCATACGCAATTACAACCATTGAAGCACACAAACCCGCCCTGTGGCACCAGGGGGGAGAGTCTGACAGTGATAGGCACCGTGCCAACCATTACAAAGACTTTCTGCTCCAGAGCTGATGTCATCAGATACCAGGAGGAAAGATTTGTGGCTTTTTTTTTTTTTTTGGGGGGGTTGTTTTCCTGCACAAAACCTCGTATTCAGTGTCTTAATTGTCCTTCATTAACCTCGAGGCTGTCGTTGAATAGATTCACACTGATTTAATCAAGTGCGCCTAAACTGTTTATTTGACATCAAATCAGGTGTTGCATTATCTGTCTGCAATCTGACACTTATTTAATTATTTATTCCTGCGATAGCATTAGCAGCCAGTACATGTTAGTACTCTGTTTTCTTAACAGCTTTTACACCAAAGACAATTCCCCATACTTATGTTACAGTGTGGGGATCACAGTTTACAAATGACACTTAATGAGATCAGATTCCTGACTTGTAGGTGTCCAGTTAAACATCTAACCTGATGCCTGATGTGATAAATCAGGTGCTAACAGATAAGCTCAAACTGGACCATTCTCCTGCAGCGCCCCCCCCCCCCCCTTTCCTTGGGCTCTTCATTTTTTTATCTTAAGTAATCAAACAAGATAAATTAGGCCATATTCATGTGTAGAGTTAATCCAATCCAGCTCTGTGTTGTTGTTGCCCCTGTTCGACTTTAGGAGCTCCCTCTGTGGGCGGTCCTAGTGCGCAGACCAATGAATCGCCTCCTCTGTTTAAATACTCCTTGATGTCAACTTTTCTTCTTCACTCACAGCTCCCTCTAACGCCATGTTGGCTGTTATGACTTGACTTGTTGTTTTTTTATCTTGCCTTACTACGGACTTGACAGGAGTGGCTTTTTTAAAACCCCCCTGCGCCTTCTGGAGACGCTTTATTCCATTCTTTTTTTTTTTTTTGTTGTTGTTGTTGCGCGTACGCGTTTTGGATGAAACGCACGGAGTATGCTTGCATCGCTCCTGTTATTTTGCATTTGAGAGGAATACTACTTGGAAATAGAAGTTTGAAAGTGTTTGGTTGTTTGTGGGAGTGTTTTTACTTGTCATATGTGCAACAAAATGTCAGATGTTCGCCTGTCTAATGCGAGCCCCACGGTGGAGAGGGTGGATGCGCGGCAGCAGGACAACGTCAGACCTCCGACCCGCAGAAACCTTTTCGGCACACCTGACCGAGAGGAGACGCGGAGGTATTTTGAAGCCTCGATACAGGAAAGTGTGCAGGCTTTTGTGGAGGAGTACAATTTCGATGTCGTCAACGACAGGCCGCTCACTCCTCCGCGCAGATACGACTGGCAGGAGGACAATGACGCACCGGAGTATTTCCGCAGACCTCCTCACCGGAGAGAGCAGCAGCCCCAGCGAGAGGTGGAGCGCCCCGGCGAGAGCAACCGACTGGATGCCGAGGAAAGGGATGAAAGGCAGCCAGATCACCAGCAGGACAGAAACGGTTCGAGGAAGAGACGTTCAGGCTCTTCAGGTGATTTGACCTCTTTTGGCTGCCATGCATTTTAATGTTTGCTGTGTCGCAATGTGGCGAAAAGCAACAGTTTGTGTCCGGGGTTTTAACTGTGAGCCACGATAAGCTGGTCTGTCTTTGCAAATAAGCAGAATATGCTGGAGAGAGTCTTCATAGGTGTTTTTAAACTGTTGTTAATAATGAGGCTGGTGATGTAAAGCTGTCTAGGGAAATGGGCTTAAAACTCGC